CCAAAGCCGTTTGTCTTGACACCACCAAAATGAGTTCTGAATCTGAATACAAAGATGACATCTGGCATGGTCTTGTACATTTTGGCTAGTTTTTCCTGAATTTCTATCTTGGGTACTGTTGCCTTCCCAAGGTGAAGGACATCAATGATCATTTGTTCCGCTGAAGTAGCCAGTCATGAACTTCCTAGTCCAGATAGTTACTGTGTCATTCATGATGGCAGCTGATCTTAAAGCAGCCAGGAAGGAAAAGAAGGCTGCTTCACACCAGCCAATCATATCAGTGCTCACAGAGGGACCCCTGGTGGCATTGGTGTCCAAGATCTTTTTATTTTTTAAAGAAAGTAACAAACTGAGAATTAAAAAAAACAAAAACAAAAACAAAAAACAAAAAAACTCCCAAGTGTAAACGTTGAGAATTGAATTTTAAAAATCATTGTCCGTCCCTCCTCCACAAAACAAAACCATGTCAGCAGGCCAGAAATGACCCCACAACCCTCAATTTGCAACGTGTAATTTAGGCTTTTGTATTAGGTGTCTATAATTATGAAACAAATTACTCCAGAATTTAGCAGCTTAAAACAACGAACATTTATCTCACACAGTTTCCAAAGGTCACAAATCCAGAGCTGGTTTGGCTGGATAGTTCTGGATCAAGGTCTCTCACAGGTTGCAGTCAAGCTGTCATTTGGGACTGTAGTCACCTCAGGGCTTGATTGGGGCTTACTCATTCACCTGACTGTTGGCTGGAGGCCTCCATTCTCCATATGGGCCTCTCCATTGGCCACCTGAGCATCCTTACAGTATGGTGGCTGGCTTTCCCTAGAGACATGGTCTGAAACAGAGAGCAAGGCAGAAGCCACAGTTCCCTTCATGACCTAGTCTTAGGTCATCTATCATCAGATCTGCCTAATTCTGTTGGTCATACAGACCAGCCCTGGTATAACGTGGAATTGGACTTCACAAAGGTATAATAGCATGAGATGAGAATCATTGTGGGCCATCTTGGAGACTGGCTACTATAGCTTTGAAAAGATCAAAATGGGCCAAATTTAGGCTATTCAAATTTGATTCAGATTTATACCATAAATCTGATGCCCTTTCTTCCAACTCCTTACTTTCATCATTTATTCCTCTTTTCCATCCTCCCTCATCACCAGCTTGACTCACAGGAAAACACCAGCTTTTCTGTTCAATATTCTCTTCAGGCTGGGATTTATTAGCTAGTTCCTTCACTTCTGGTCCTCAAGTCCTGAACTGAACTGCCTGTATATATAACTTTTGGTTTC